GGGGGCTCTCTCTCCTCTCCTGACGGCACAGGCAGGGCACGAGCGAAGGAGCCCTTCCCCCCCCTTGTGAATGTTCAGGTCGATTGCTACAGAGTGAGCAATCGAGGCGATGAGCAGAGGGGTGCGTGACTGAAGCGTTGTACCATCGCCCCGCTCCCTTATTGCCGGTGAACTCTTCAGTTCTTCGAAGTAGGGGTTCAGCGCCGGAGTTCGCTACTCGGCGCTCCTTCGTTTCGCCGTGTAGAGAGGGCTGGTGCTGATCGCGTTCCTGTGCGTGTCCGGGGTGGCAGGGTGTTTCCCCGCAAGCACCCCTGCCTGAGCCCGCAGGCAGAGCTGCCTGCCACGTTCCCTCCAGATGGGATCTCTCCCTCGCCGCTGATGCGAGTGTCGGCTGCCTCCTAGGTACGAGTGCGTAAGCTGGTGGCTGGCTGTGCCCCTGCAGCGTGGAACATTCTTGATGATGTATGCGGGGATGTTAAGAGAAATTTCTGAGAGTGCTCTCAGCTGCTGTTTAAGCCTGTTCCTTTCAGAGCGCACAGTTCAGATGTTCACCATTTCTGTCCTTGCTTATCTCTCCCCCCTCTCCTAATCTGCTGCTCCCCTGGGCTGAATGAGTGAGCCTTTCCAGCCCTTCCAGGAACACGGCTGGGCCGAAATGCATATAACAGGCAGTCCACTTGGCTAGTCTGGTGTCTTGTGAACTGAAGCTGTTTCTAACGGTAGAAATAAGGGGCACTGAGCACAGGGTCCTTTGCAGGCTTAAGACAAAAGTTGTGCCCCTACTTCAAGTGCTGCGTGATGAGGAGCTGCTTTTTTTTATTCTCTGCAGGGAATCCCTGTTTGGTCCAGCGCTTCGTGGAAATTTTGTAAGTGAAGAAAGCTGATTGTTTCTGAGGTCTTTTTGCATGGGGTGCTGTGATAGCTGTTAAGGAGCAAGAGTGAATGGCAAGGCATTTGAGTATGGGTATTTGCTCAGCATACTGACTCTTGTCTGCCCAGTTAGGCAGCCTGATTAAAGCATGGGTGGGCTGATTCACACCATCTGCAGGACCATTGCCAGAACATGATCTGCTGAGTGATGGAGGGAATAAGACATCTGTCCTGGGTGGTTGAATTCTAGCTAATCTTAAGCATCTCCTTCAGAAAAATGTGAAGAGCCTGAATATGGAGGTTTATACGGAGTGAATATGTGAATATGGAGTCAGATGAATTGCAGCCCAGGTGGCAGTGTTTCAAAATTTAGCTAGCATCGGTCATTTCAGATCTTACATGAATAGACTTACTGTTTTAACTGCACACGTGATGGGAAAATCAATATTCTGATTATCTTTTCTCAGGAAGTCACAATGCAGGCACACAGTATACCTGTAGTCCTGTGTCACAACATACTGCCAGGCAAATAGCTGCTTGCACTTCTCTGCCTCCTCTACCACCGTGTTTTGAGAGGATGGGGAGGCCACGGTAAACTGCGGAGGAATGGGAGGGACTGACCCTGATGTTGACTGCTCCATCGCGAATGGCATATTGCCGCGTGCTGCACAAAGCCAGTGAGAAAGCAGCTCACTACCATTCACTGAGGTAGTAGGTGTTTCTGTAGAGACATTCATGAGATTGGGCACAAAAATATGCAGGATATGTTTAATACTCCATCCTGTTCCAGCTACGCGCATGGGAAATAGGTTCCCTGTTATTTGCAGCCAGCAAACTTTATGCTAGCTTATACACAGGCCATCCTGTGCCTGTCAGCTCAGTGCTTGGGCATGTTTCTGGGTATATGTAATTTATGAGTATCGAGAAACTCTGTGAGTCCCTAGTGCTCATGAAAATGTTCTTCTTCGACAATGTTTGTGCAAAACTAAACCAGGATTTTAAGTTTCATGCTAGGCTCTCAAAGTTTATGGGAGATAACCAGAAAAATCATGCTCAGTGTTTTTTATTAGTACTTGTAAAGAGAATAATGTTGCATCCCATTTAATATTGCTCCTTTTTATGAAATCGACTTTGCCTTTTTTTTAGAAAAGCTTGGAAAGACCAGAGTTGTAAAACAGCTT